GGGTCTGAATACTTTCCGAATGCACTGTATGTAGCATTCACACATATATGCACTAAGGGATACCTTTTGCACAGGTACCAATTCACTTGGACCTGAAGAATAAAATAGCATGTCTCTGCACTGAAAAGAGAAGTAAAAGAGAAAATTGATTTGCAGCTTGTGCACAGTGTTCTCAAAGATCAGGGTTAGATGGATTCTCAAATAGTTGGTAGGGAAAGAAAAGTAGGCAGTCCTTATCAGTAACTGTTTTGACAATGCTCTTTGGCTGGGTTTGGTCAGTGTGGTCCTTGGCTCCTGAAACCACAGTTCTCCTAGAGCTGGGGACTCAAGACTAATTTAAAGGGTGGGAAGTAATAAACCAATCCTTTGTCTGATCCTGGATCCAGCTGAAGCTAGCTGACTCCTTCAGGCTGAGAAACCCAAGTCAGCAGATCTCCCTCAGGGACCCAAGAAAACTAGGCTTCCAAAGTTTAAGAAGGAAATGTACTGGAGGGCTTATTTCGGCTTCTATAAGGTCCAGCAACCTTCTTAAAGCAGCACTACAAGTCCAACTCAGCGGATGATCCTCTTCTTGCTTGGGGATGATACTGGCTGGTTCGAGTCCTGTTCATGGGGTGAGCTATACATGGGTTCAGATGGCTCAAAGAGTTTTCTCTCAGGGATAAACCAAAGTCTGGCAAATGAAAGAAAATCTCTTCTGCATTTCTTCTGAGTGACTTCAGATATGCATGGAGATAGAAAGAAGAGAAGAGCAACAGAGGCAAAAGTATTGCTAGTACAGATAATCCTACCTGGAAAAAATGAGGAATCAAAGTTGTGGTCAATATTAAGGAAAAAGAGACACAACAAGATAAAAAAGGCTTAGGGTAAGGATTGGGCCAATTATTGGGTTGGGTTAATGGGCTTTTTTTCCCCCCCTTGGACTGAATAAAAGAAATACCAAAAAGATGATGATCCTAAATTTTCCAGGTTCCTTCTGATTATCAAAACAGGCTGTAAGGAAGAGTAATTGAAAAGCAATTGCTTACTGGTCTGATTAACAGAAGGAATGGCTCAGGAAGAGTTCAGGGCTCTGAGATTACCTTATACAGATAACATTTTGCTACATATGCCACAGTTCTACCAAAACCTAGTAATCAGTGAGGCAAATAGAAAGAATTGAGAGGAAAGATTATCCATGGGGACTTATTAATATAATTTTTATTCCCTCGCTACTAATATTCTGGGGTCCTTTTCCCAACTAGATATCCCTGCCAGACTAGTGTTCTGCAGAACAGAATGGTTATCCTGCAATCAGTGTCTTTGACCTCTTGGCTTGCAAATTCAGTATTCAGCAACACTGCACCAAATTGAGGATAAAATGTAGAGGGGCAAATCATGAACCTAGGAGGGAAATGCTGGAGGAACAAAGGAAACTTTTCTTTCCATGATTTTTGTTATTCTAAAATCACAATTTGGGGAAAGTTCTTTTAGCAGCCTTGAAAGCAGCATCTTGAACTGTCTGGAAGGAGCTTATAACTTTCCAGAGAGCATTGTTTCCAGAAACTTCCTTAAATCAATTTAATTTAGGATCCAAGCCAGACTTCTGTAATTATTGTCACCAATAACACTGAGCATGCATACATCACACTTCATCATCATTACTTACATAACTTTATCTCAGACCACACACACAGAGTATTTGAGCAGGTTATCACATTATTGT